CTTATGAAAGAACCTTTTCAGAGTGAAGCATCTTTGTGTGAAGGAGAAAGCTTATGCTTGTGTAACTAACTATAACTCTCATCCATTATTAGTCGAAAACATGCTATGTTACACTCATGGTCTAAAGTCTTTCATTTTGTTTTAGATGTCTTGATGTATTATCTCTGGAGCAATGAACAAAACGTTTATCCCCCTAAAAGGCATTTGGGTTAAGTTTTTTAACCAAAACCTTGTTGACCATTATAATTGGATATTTGGCCTGAAGTAGACAAGTTATTAATAGTTGTAAAAAACACAATCTATGGCAAAATTCCAGACCAAAGTCAGTATCACAATTAACTGAGAATTTCTTTGTCTGTCCAACTCTAATCTGGGTTTAATCACGTTTCATACAATTACATTAATTGGAATTTGTTTTTCGAGGATGTGTGAATTGAATTTATGATTTGCTTTTGTGTGAGTCACACGTCTTCTACTTAGATGAACCACGCTTAGGTGATAGCTGATTATGAGACAGGGGTGGGAGCACTAATGAGCTCACTGAAAATAAAATTGCTTTTACAAAGTCACTAAGTTGCCTATGCCACATATTTTTCCACACTTGAAAATGGCTGAGTGAACGTGAAGCCATGAATATGTTCTTTATATTTTCCCAGGACAGAAATAAATCACTCTTTTTTTGTCCTTTTTGTTACTCTGAAGCCGTCCCAGCGAGACAACAGCCGACTAATTATCAGGCTGTTCCTCTTAATGCTTGATTTCTGGGTTGGGGGGAGTGGCAGCTGATGATTCCCCTGAGCCGGTCAAGACAGAGAGAGACAATATAAGAGAAGAACTATAACGTGAGGAAATTGACTTGCCGACAATCTCTGAAATTCCATTCATTCTACACGTGTCCAGCATGCAGCGTTTCCAACAGACTGAGAACAGACTCACACAGACGGTCCAACACATCTGCACCATGTCCAACAGGCACGTGAGTTGGCAGAAGGGGGTTGCAGTTTGACCCGCTGATGAGAGAAGGTGCTTTGGTATTATGTTGCTCAAACACCTTCAGATTCTGTACATCTCAATCAGCCCTATTCAGTTGGCAAGTGTCAGGCTATCTTCCACATAAGAGCCTTAATATAGGCTGCTACATCAAAGAGGTGACTAATCAGGCTGACAGAGAGAGGTGTCACAGTGTGTCAATCCTTCAGGGCCGCTGCCTGTCTCTCAGGGAGCCCGCTCCATCAGCTCTGACCTCGAATAACCCGGCACATGCACAAGGCACGTGCACGAGCTGCTGGACACACACGATGTGTACGAAACGTGCATACGAACACACATGGCTCGCAAATACACCCATGTGCAGTTATATGTGTGCATACAACACACGCGATACACATCTCACTGGGAATCAACGTGACAGATGACTTGGTTCAATGATGGGCCTGTGTTGATGAGAGCTGATTAAAGATGTGAAAAATGGAAACTCATCTTGATGTATTTGGGTCAATTTCACGTCGACAGCCGATGCTTGGTCAGGCCTATTTCTAGGAGAAGTGGTGGCGGTAATTAATGGGTGATAACGGGCATCTTTAATTGGCTGTAATCTATCCAATGAAGTGAGGAGGTTCCATTTCTTTTTTTTAGGACAGAGCCCCCGATGGGAGCATGGAAGAATCAAGCCTGGTTGCTGTGGGCGTACAGTATATGGAGTGCACCATATATCTGCACAACAGTACAGGAGCTATGTGATGCTCAACAATGAAGTCACACAAACCAGTGCAGTTTAAGTTAGAATGTCGCCCAGTAGAGCACCAATCTTCGCCAAGGCCCAACAGTCCCCGTATGAAACCACATTAAAATCCCATAGATCCAGATTTGTATTTGGCTCTGCACTAAATTGCACACATTCAGAAACATCCCTCCCCTAAATATGTCTGACTTTTTTCTATCAAGATCCATGATTTGATCCATGAATCTGAGAAGTCAAGGAAATTCTCAATCTCGCAATGTTTAAGACAATGTCTTAAACAAGAAATCTAAATCTAAAATGTGCCCCACCCTTCCACAAAATTTCCTATAAATCAGTAAAGCAGTTTTTGCAAATTCCTGCCAACAATCAAATAAACAAACATACGCAGATGAAAACATAACATCATTGGCGGAGCTAACAATAAAAATATGCATCTTTCAATGTGACCGTGACTCCATCTTCCTCATTGAACAAAGTGCAAATGCAACAAGCCAGAATAAAAAAATGCCTGCTGTTAACATATCACTCCATAAATCAGTTCTAGTAAGTACTCATGGTTTCATGGTTCTACCCAAGACCTAACTATACAATCTATATCCTTCATATGATGAGAAGAGAAAAAGCAGTCTAGCGAGCTCTCCTCCCAAGAAAGGGGTGAACACTTATTTGCATTGAAATGAACTGTCTGAGGGGTGTGTGTGTATGTGTGTATGTGTTGTAGAGATAATGTGCATTTTGTCTAGGGGGCGTTGGTTTGTGTGTCGACCTGCATGGATCACTAGTGATGGGGTGACTCCGCAATCTCACAACCCTGCTCTCCAGCCTCAGGGGGACCTGTGTATCTGCTTGTACTTACACATAGAGTATGTTTTCTTTCCCAGGGTTCTCACTCCCAGCATGATCTACTGGTGAGTCCATTACATTAAATGCCACCATAAATCAGCATGATCCGTTTTGGAATTAGTTATAAAATCCTCGGTCTAAGGGGTCATGTAGTGTGCAAAATTCATTTTAACCAAGTTGTATATCAGGGAGACACAGCTCTGTGCTCACCAAAACTCATGTCCGGTTCACTTCCCTTATTTGAATGTCATGTAGTATTTGTCAACCAATAAAACGTAAACACTCATGTAGACATATTCTGATATTTCACCTCAGTTTTATAGACTGTTAATGCTTAATGGAAGGTCCAGTTCATTATGTTTAAGGTAAGAAAGGTGTAATCATACTGTACCTATTATCTTGCACATGTCTCCAGAATATTTTGTAAACTCAGGTTTAGATACATCAGTCTGTGCAATAGTCAATACGATTCTAGGAGCAAATCAGCTATGGGCCATGGTTTAGATAATATCCACAAGAAGAAAGATGGTGTTGTGATTTCAACTGACAGTTGTTATTCCTGTGAAATGTCTATTGAACCCGACCAGTTTAGACAATATCACTCACTTGTTTAATCATTCACAGAACATACTGCAGAACAAATACTCAATAGTCTGCCCTGGAGTGAGTAGTAAAGTGAGATTGGCCATTATTAGGTATTAGCATTGAGCACCATGGGTTAGGGTTAGTGGTGCATAGTTGTAATTTACACATCTATCAAAAATACATTTTGAGATTTCTAGAAGAAACACATCCATCCATTATCCAAAGCACTTACAGAGGGGCTGCAGACAATCCCAGCTGACATTAGGTTAAAGGTGGGACGTACCCTGGACAGGTAACCAGTAAATCACAGGGCCACCATAAAGGGACAAATAATCACTCACATTCACCCCCACAGCTAAATTAGAGTCTCCAAGTAACCTAACCCCTAAACCAACACCGACAGGGGAAATGCTCATATCCGAAGCCTGGAAGTTGCTGTGACATTACTAACCACTGCATCACTGTGCAGCCCCATGACACTAAATATTTATGTCAGATTATTGGGGGTATTATGTGCTGTTTTGTGTGGATGTTTCTGTAGGTCACATTTTGCATTTTGCTATGCAGTGTGAATACACCATTTTGTAAAGTAATGCTGAGATTGTATTGTGTGGTAGCTAACAGGCTGATTTTGTTGTGTCTGATTGTCGTTTGGTTAGCTGTTTTATCTGGGAGGAAGTGAGTTATCCCTGAAACTGACACTACTGAAAGTCATACCTTGCTGCTTTCAGCACAGTCAGCACCGAGGCTTCGTTAGCCAGTGTACAGTAAGGATAAGTTTGTCAAGTTCACAGCAAATGATGCTCTCTAGTAGTTGTGCATGTTTATGAATGAGGTATGACAGAAATGCCTATGTTTAAAAATGTTGGGGGAAAAAAACTAAAAAGTTAACTATGTTCAAGTTGTCGTGAACTTGGTAAAGTCACAAGTTTGACTTTTTTATTTCATCAACAAAGACTCTGATTGGCTAAGTTGATTCTCCAACCTGGAAAACTGCCAATCGGCAGACCAACGGTGCAACTCGACAAAATCTGAGATGTGGTTGGCGTCTCAGAGGTTTGGAACCTGGCTAAAATGAGCCTCCCTGTGCAAAGCATTATCTATGGATCACAGCACGTCTCCACTGAGTGCTCTTTATAGGTAATCAATAGACGAGCTGGCTCATGATGGCTCTCACTCATTACAACTCTTTAATAAAAGCCCACCCTGCGGTGATGGCTGCTCTGGCGAGTATAAACACACATGCTGCCATATGGGAAACCAAATCTCTGTTTACACACACATGAAAAACACAAACTCACACACATAAGGAGAACATCCCTTGTTAGCGGGCAACTCAATCCAAATGCTCTGTAGCTATGTTGCAACATTACTCATTTATACCCCAACAACAATTTAGACGTGTCCTGTTAGTGAGGACTTCAGAATCATCTCTGGCTAAATCAATATGTGGATCAGCGTATTGACGCGGTGCTGGTTTGAAAATATCAGGAGACTTTCCAATAAAGGCGACACACATACACACACTCTTAAATGCCCCACTCAGTGTTCTGTGGCTTGTATTTATCAGCAGCTAAACAACAATTTTCGAGCTGACAGAATCTTTCTTGGAGCTGAACTCTGAATTACTTGATCTCCTTTAACCTTCAGCAACATATGTTTTTCTTTTTAATTCACTCCTCGAGCTGGAGACACAAACCCTTGTAGCCATTTCCCCAAATGCGCCAAACCAGCTGTTCGCTCCATCTCTCCGCACTTTGGAGTCAGGTGACGAAAGCCATCTACTCCAGCATTTTCCAGTGAGAGGGCGGCCTCTTGCAAGAGTGCAGGTTTACTCCGTCATATGTGCAGGGTGAGGGGGGCAGGTATGTGGCGTAGCTCGGGTCATTTTTCCTTGAACCGCCCAGCAGCTTGTCCTCATGTCTCGGGAGACATAAAAAGAGAGGGGAGCATATGACCATGCTTCAACTGTCACATACCTCAGTACTCAACACTCACAAAAGTTTTAAATCCAACTTGCATTACAGTGCAGCATCTGTTTCAATGTGGCCTGAGTTCACAGAACCAGTCAACACACACACACAGGCACACAAAACGACAAACATTTGCTAAAGATTACAGCTGTTTTTCCCAAAAAATTTAAACAGTGAAAGGCTCTGTATGTTATAAAATAAATATTCATTAAAAAAACATCTTTAGCTCTTTTCTAACCTGTATAGGACGAAATCCTTATTGGATACAGGGATCCGAGATAAACCTTCTAACATCTCTCTTAGGCACGGGCTGTGTTAGCGAACATGACAGTATATTAAAAATGAACAACAGACCACTTTGTGCCTCACGATATGGAAACCGGAGAGCATGTGGTTATGATCTAAGCATCCTTAAGGTGCTGGAGGGGAAGATGACCTTTATCTGCCCAGAATAGCGGGACTGAGGGGAACAAAAGCCTCGATGACAAACACAGGAGACACTGTGACCTCACAGAAGCCAACATACACGCTCTGAACACAAGCTCACATTATGAGCTTATGTACCTGCATGCACCACCACAGACACACATGCATGTGCCTATTTGGTTTCAAATAAAATATCCCTCTAAAACCTTAGTAACCTTAGTAAGTAAGCAACAATCAACAGCAAAATCAGGATATTGGGAAATTTGCTTGTTGACAAGAGTTAGATGGGAAGATGGATACCACTCTCATGTTTGAACAGTATGTGAAACTACAGTCAGTAACTGATTAGCTTAGCTTAGCAACTTGTTGTCACCAGGCAACCAGTGAGGACTGTAGAAAAAGAAGCCAAAATGAACCAATAAGAGGAGCAAAGACAAAACTAAACAAAACTGTTCTGCATTTGCCTCCATCTCCTGCAGAGAGAGGCTGATTGAGAAAATCTGCAGGTTTTTTTGGCCTTGTTGATTTGAACATGTCTGGCAGTCCTACTGGAACGTCATCCGTATCCACAGTCTAGCCATCACCTTACACATCAACCTGAGTGACAAGCATATCGACCGCCAACAGAACTCTGACACACACAAAACACAACACAAAGAGAGAGTGTCTCATATTTCTGCCTTTGTGTGTCTTTCAGAGAGAAACGGCAGGGAAAATATGAGGCTATGTCTGTCTGCATCCTGATGGTGTCTGCAGGCCAATGACTGGCATGGTTATCATTACAAACAATAAAGGGAAAAGATGAGTCTGGTATTGCGGCATTATGAGCCACAAAAGCATTTATCTCGGACAGATTTTACACTAGACAGTTGCAGGCCATCGTTACAGCTCTCTCTCCAGCACGTTGGAGAGATTTCAGTGTGTTTGACAAGGTAACTCGAGGGGGCGGGTGTAGACACCTAAATGTTTCAGCCGCTCATCGCCTCATTCCATCCCCCTTGTTGCCTCTGTGCATAAAGAGAGGGCTGAGAGGAACGGCAGGGCATGTAGCGTATGAGAGAGAGATGAGGTGAGACAGTGAGTGAAAGCCATGGGGGAGTCGGGGATGTTCACCTCTCTATTCACAGCAACTAAATATTTGATGGGGGGAGGTGGCGGAGAGGAGAGGAGCCGAGGTGAGGTGAGAGGAAAGGAGGAGAATCATGGGTGCGTCTCCTTTGGGAGCGTGTAAAGTGTCCCAGGCGTGCAGGGGAGCTGAAGGGTCAGGATATTACAAGAGCTGCCAAATTTTGCTGGGTGAATTATTCATCTCACTGAGCTCGACACTAGAACGGCATTATGGGTGGCCCGCTGTAGAGAACAAAGAGGCCAAGGCTTTCAGCGCACAAGCTACATTGAGAAAAAATTTACAGTTCTAGCCACATGGGGGGAAAAAAAGGTGAATAATATAAGAAAACAGTGGAGCAGGAGGAGTGGATGCAAACACAGAGGATGAGAGATCATGTACAAAACATTGGTTAGAGGCTCGACAGAAGAAATGACATGGCTTTTGTTGCAGGATGTAGCGTTTAGGCTCTGGCCTGTGCTGGAATCAACAACAGTAAAAAATAACAGGAAGAACATATGTGCATAAACCAGCACAGAAGACGTTGAACATCCTTAGAGTTTTGTTTATGTTATGGTTTTTCTTGCATAATCTGCAAGATGGACGTGGAAACTCACAAAGAAACAACTGAACCTGCAGCTTATTATTTAGACATGTACTATTATTACTTACATTAAGGGATGTTTGTACTCAGAATACTGAATGAGCTCTGATTGATTTTTTCTTTTCACTTCTTTGAGATGAATTACAAATATTTTCATAACAACTATCACAGTAGAATCTGCCGCTCACCATAGTTCAGCTGGATAGATGAGGATGTTCTGAACTAAGGTTTGAGGTCATCCGCAACCTGAGAGCGTTTCAGAGACGAGCAAGAAATAACCTATAGAATATGATCTCCAGTAAATCCTAGCAGGCATACTCTACCTTACACATGATGGTGTGAAGCGGACATATTGATGTATATATCCCCTCAATTGACATTGAAGGGCCTGGACGATGTGTGTGTGTGTGACAGAACAGATCCTAAGAGTAAATACGACAGTACTGTGGGAATTTTCTCAGTGTTTGCACAGCAGTGACTGTTCACCCTACCACAGACACACACACACACACACACNACACACACACACACACACACACACACACACACACACACACACACACACACACACACACACACACACACACACACACACACACACACACAGAGTTCCTGGTCATGGTCCTCTATGCCCCGGCGACTTGTGTGTTAACAATATTATTTACAGATGAAGCTGCAAAGAATTAATTATGCAAACAATGTGCGTTCAAAATTATAATGCTGTGCATTGCCAGAAGCCTATTTAAATATTAATCTTTTTTTTATTAAATGAATTTTAACCATTTGCAATGTTGCTGCGGTGAAAAAAGCGTAAGTGCTTGAAGCACATTTTTTTGGCAGATAAATATTGCAAGTGGCTTCTTTGGTTTCTGAGCACACCATTCATAGGCAGCTTGCATGCAAACACATTCATGAGGTGCATTTGTTTTGATTTCACTGGTTTTGAATGTAGTGGAATCAGGTCGTGTTCTGTCATACATTTCAGAGATTTGTCACTTTTGTCCTGCAGTGTTTCAACACCACATTGTGAAGCTTACAGGTGACTTGGCTCTTGTCAAATATGCTATAGCTTTTATGGAGAAAAGAACTTGCTGCCACAAGAAATAACCTCAGGAGCAGAGGGTTAATGAGGAAGAGAGATATAAGTGTCTTGCAAAAACATTGCTCTGCTGTAGACAATGAGGGGACAAGACGAAATAGGTAATGTTAAATAATAATGTTTATCTGTTTTTTTCTGGTTGTTCGCCTTCAGGCCGCTGAGCATCTCTGTCCGACTGTCTGGTAAAACATGCAAGTCTTTCTTCTCTATGACCCCAATCCCTTCTCTTACTAGTGGGTGGTCGAAGATAATGAGGTAACATCTGGTTTAGAGGATTGGCTTTCATTTGCTGCATGTGTGCACACACACACACACACACACACACACACACACACACACAGACAATAAAATACCCTATTGCTATAAGACAAGACGGCATTAACGTCAAGCTCATCAGGTAATGTCCTAATTCAGAACAGCAGAGTGAATAAAAAACCAAGTAAAACAAACTGCATCTAATTATTTCATGTGCAATTAAGTCTTAAAATTAAAGATAACAAATAATTCTCTGCAATACTGATGTGGCTGAAAATACCTTTACTTTGTAGGGTCAACGTGCTCTCAACCAGGTGAGGACGAGCAGAGATGAGGGATAGAGGGAGAGAGGAGAGGTGGGTTAAAAGGGTGTGTGATTAGCCCCTAATTCTGACAGAGGTTGGACAGCTTTTAACGTGTGTCAAACACATCAGGGAAGAATAAATATAAGCAGGATGAATAAATTAAGAACAAGAATGGCACTCAAGCCACAAGGTGACTGTTAAAAAAACTTTCAAGCTTTAGTTTTCCTTTAATTTGACAGTGGCATAATTTAGTCTTTAAACTAAATGAATGGTAGGATTACAACAGGAACCACTAAATCAATTTCTTATAACAGTAGCAATCATTCTTTGTGAGTCTTCATCAAACAATGGATATCACGTTTTGTGCTACACTCCTCCATTCTCATATTTTGTGATGGCTGGGGGAATATGAGCCATGGAGCCAGATGGACACATCAGAGACAGGAGCCTGCTGAGAAGTGTTGTCTGGATGTGGGACAAGACTTAGATAGGACAACCTGGGTTTATTGTTCAGGTTGTTTAGGGGGGTTCTTCAGAAGTAGCGTGCATTAGTATGTTAGAATGGGCTTCAATTACATCCATTAGTGGAAGTGAGGACTGTGACTGGCGCATGCTGGCATGTCTGCATGAGAGTGGAGGCGATAAGGTTACCAGAAACGTGCTGAGGAGGGGCAGTAAATAGGGGGTGGGTCTCTAAAGACACAGACAGATAGGAGACAGACCCCAGAAATGACAGGTGTTGATGACTGACAATGACTGGCTGAAGTTTCACATGAAAATCTTGAGTGATTCCCAAATAATAACCGGAGAACTGCACATTCATATTTTTTTTGTTTGTGAAAATGCAGTTTTACAGCTAAGAAAGAGTCAGAGATTTATCTGTTGGAATAAATGTTTTAATATATATTAACAAAACAAATTGCTAATGTCACTGTTTTTATTTTTCTGTTATCTTCAGTGCACTTACATTTCTGCATTCCACATTTTACATGCACTCGGAAGCAGGACTGTATCCTGACACTGGTAATAAAATTGTATTTTTATTTCACTTGTTTATTATGTGTGTCCTTGCCTGGGACAATAAGTTAGCGAAGCCGTAGAAATGCTATTTGGTATTTGTTTAGAGAAACTGTGCCTTCTTCCCCCCACTTGCAAG